CTAAGAAAACGTTCGCCTGTGGCAAAGCGGTAAGTCTTCGCTTTCGATTTTGAGGATGTGTCTGACTGGTCGTATCGTAGCTTTGACGCTGGGCTCTGTGGGACCTTCGGATCTCAGGCAGGTGCTCGCCTGAGTCGACCTGTAGTCACTGAATCTGAATATTGCCTTTTTTTCGCCATCTCTTATCGTAGCTACGCCGTCGACACTATGGCGGCTGTTACCCGCTCTCGTCTTGGTACGGGATCGCGCCGTCACTTTTGCACATGTTCATATTAGTCTTTGGCAAATCAGCCTGCTACTTGCTGATTCGGCCGCTCCCGTGGGTTCGCTTTAGAGGATAACCTAAGCCATCTTTCCCCTGGTTTTGGCCGGCCATGCGCTCCTTTCACCGTTGCAATTGGTCGGTCACGGGTAACGCGGCCATTAATATGCCCTCCACGCTGCAACTCCTTCTGCGGCTGAGGGCCGGTCTCTTGCCTTCTGCTGCCTCGTTCTCGACCTTCTTGGTGCAGGAAAAGTAGGAAGGGTGCACCTCAAGGACAAAGAAAAAGACCTTAAGGCAGGTGGAAGAGCTGTCTAGTTGGTTCCCTTTTGGGCAGCTAGGTTCAAACTTTGAAGACGACTGGCGTTCGTCAGGAATTGGTGTGCCGATTTGTTGCCGGTCAATGCAGAAATCGGCTAAAGGGGGAAAAATACAGTTCGCTTTACGATTTCGCCTTGCGGGGCGACACGGCAGGAAAAGCTTGAACCTGCGGCTTCCGTGTCCGGCTTTCTTAGTGAAACTGGGTGACAAATACACACGCTAGATTTGATATGAAAAACCACCAACAGAAAAACCTATTTAGGAACTATCAGAAAAAAGCTATTAAATCAGGATCGTGTTAGCAATGGTTCGTTTGTGAACGTCTCTCTGTCGATGCTTCAAGTTTAACGCTAAACGTCGTCATCTTTGTCAACAAGGCATGTCAGCCAACGTTGTAACCAGATGTCTCTACTGGGCTCGCTGAAGGTTCATGCTTCATGTCTGTATAGATTATGCTGCAACTGCTAAAACGTTAGGTGCGGCTTCCCAGTTTTAGTGTACCTACTGGAAACCAAGTGCGAAATACAACAAACTGCTCGTTGACGTAATCAGAAAAAAGCAAACGTCTATTTACTAGTAGTAGAGATTTATAGTAGTTTCAGTGGCGAGTATCAAGCAAGATGACATGACTATTTCATTTTGGCGACAACAGAAGCGAACGTCTTGATAAAGGACCCGCGCAGAGGTTCAACTGACTGATCTTAGCTGTTACATGACATGGCTGTTTTAGAAATATTTGTGAACTGTTGTCTACCTTGCGCGTCTCCTTCCGTTTGCTGCCGGTTCTGTGCTTCAGTATCTGTCGATAGTGTGTGCATGACAACTACGCCACCAGAAGTTTCTGTCAGACCACATCTTTGCTTTTGCTGGATATCATAAGAACATTATTTTTCTATGTCCCTTTCTTCTCGTACCCCTCTGCAAATGCCCACCCCCTCAATCCGTTCTGTCGTCTCGCCTACAATACTCGCTACTATTTATTAAAATTCTATTGTTGAACTAATAAATAGGTTTGTGTGAGTTTAACGAATAAAAATATGCAATACTATTTAACAAATAGCACATTGCAGTGCCTAAGGGCTGCCTATGTCTCGGCATTTAGTGATTATATCAAGCCTTTCCTCTCAATCTTACGTCGGTCCAGATGAACCAAATATGTAGTGACGCCCAAAGCATAAATTATTTGATACTTATAGGCAAGACCAGATAAAGTCAATTTTTAACAATTTCTCTCTCGATATTTCCACTAATGGGTTTAACTAGTAATGGGATTTAAGGAGTACTTTCACATCAGCAGAAGAAGAAGCATAGTGCTGTAGCACTATACGTTACCGTTCACCATTGAAAACCCGTACTAACTGATACAGCAGAAAGCTTGAAAATCTAGTGACTAGAAAATATGCCATGGATAATAAAAAAAAGTGTGCCTAAAAAGGTAATGCCCTTTTGATGCTTTCTGACAACTGTTGCTATTCCGGGTTATTTATAAGTTACTAATGTTGATCGTATTTTGTTAAAACTTTCTATAAGAAAGGTTTCGAAAGTGTAAAATATCACTCTACCACTTCATTGACAGGTTGGCTTTAGGAATTTTCACGGAGATACACCATTCTGCTTCTATCGATGTATATTTGTCAGTCAGTTAAGCATGGGGTAAGAGGAGATATAGCCGTTATATGACCGTTAATGTGGTTTTTAAGCGTTCAAATTACGAACTCTGCGGATGCTGCCGGCCCATGAACGAAATAGCGATGTTGGCAGCGGGTGCACACGGCCAATAGGTTAGGTTGGATAGCTTCGAGAATGAGATACAGAGCATCCTGATGGTAGTGGGTTTAACTGTTTGCAGTCCTATTAGTTTAATTAGTCTCGCGTTTGCTTTATTCGTTCGGGCTACTAGCACTGCTTGCATTGCTTCTACCATAAACTAGATAAACTGTCCTGCCCTGAGCATTTGCTGGGGGCCTCTTCTCTTGTTGTTGTTGTTTTCGTTTCTTACCCCGTAGAATGTTAGTCGCACGAGCCATCAGCAGACGAATGTCTGTCGCCTGCTAGCCACGCCACCAGCTAATGACACAACCATTGTTTATGCTGCTCGAGCGGCCATTCCATTATAGCAACTAGTTGTGTCGTAGTTGAGTGCTGTGAAATGCTAGTGGCGTATGGCTGTGCGCATGGGTGCGTGGTAGTATTCCCTTTATGCACGCCGTTCCCTTCTAACTGCTGAGTAGTGCCTTCTACCTCGACCTTTCCTTTAACTGTTCAGACACTGCCAGCAGAGCAGCCACACTGGGTCATGAAAGTTTTGCACAGCAAGAACGAGCGCCAAAAGTTCTTCCTTAACGCTCGCACTCATTCATGGATGTAGTGACAAATCGCGAAGGCGTTAAATGTCGGGAATCGCGTGGGGGGAGGGGCTGTAATAGTGGCACCAGCTAGTAGAAGCTAACGGCATTTAAGTGCTGTGTGGTGTCACAGCAATTTTACATCTGTAACGTGGATTGCTTAAAACTCAGCATGAATATGGAGCACAGACAAACGGTATTGCAGGGAGTCAAGCAGAAAATTATTACGGAATTCCGGCAAACGGTCACAGGGCAGTTGCGTGCCCAGTTAATAGTAGAAGTAACTGAGACAACGGCGGAAAGGAAACCAGGATTCAAGGCAGTACATAAAAGTCCTGCTAAGAAATAGAAAATTCAAGGGTTTTTCGCCTGAACAAAGCTAGTACCAGCCCTAGGAATGGTGAAGCCGCTAAAGCCGTTGACAGTATTTCAGGCGGCGCACCGAGCGACTCGAAGGGGGCAGCGTGTAATACGGACAAGGGAAATGGAAAGAAAAAGAAGTCAGAGTTACTTCCTGTTTTTTTCGATCCCTACACAATTTTCATGTATGCGCTGGTCTTCTATTGTCATTTTTTCTTCCGCTCTTGTGCAACAGAGAGAAGGAATTACCTTTAGGGAGACGATTTGGCGTTCTTTTCTTCTGCGTCGTCATCACCATTGTCGCAGCAACAGCAGCCGCCATTGCCCTTGCCTACTTTGCCTTTCCGTTAGTTTGTCGGTGCCTGCTGCAGTTTACGGCGGTGGTGATATCCTCGTGTTGCGTTGCTCTGTTGTCCGGCCCGCCGTTGGTAAGGGCAGAGGCTGCGGCCGACATCTCGTCGGTGTCTCCGGACCCTTCTGTATGTAGCTGCTGATGGCCGTCTTCTGCTGATGGTTGTGGCTCAACCGATGCAGAAGAGGCATAGGTTGCCACTCTAGCACGCGAATGGAACGCACAGTGTGCCGCCTGCTGCCCCCGCTGTCGTCGTTTGCGTATTCCATTGGTTCTGCTGCTATCACCGATTTTCTCATCGCCGACGCGTCCCTTAGCCATTAGAGCCAAGAGACTAATTAACGCGTGTGACTGAGTAAGACTCGTTGCCAGAGAACGCGTGGGCTAGCTAAAACGGAATCAGCAGCACAGTGTAGCCAATGATGCGGGTATTGGATGTGTGACTACGGTGTGATACCGTTGGTGTAAGCAGCGTAGTAGAACCATCGGTGACGGTCCCTCAACAGCAAGCCAGCCTACCCTATCCGACCCAATAGACGTCGGGACACGTTTACTACCAGATGGCAAGTCGCCGGCGACTGGAAAGCAGAGACGCTGGTGGGTGGACGTGGTAAAAAAAGAGAACAAGGGAAACGGTACCGAAGGGCAAAAAAGAGGCATGGGTTAAGGAGAACTAAAGGATCCAGGCTGGTTGCAGCCGGCGGTACGAATGGACTACTGACATTCAGACACGGCCTTCAGTGGGGATAAGGGGCCGTCTCACAGGAGTGTCAAAGATAAAGATACTCGTGGCTGGATAACGACAACGCGTTCATACGTCGGTTGTCAGCAAGGCATGAGTTCTAGGCTTCGCTGGAGGAACAGGATAATCTCTTTGGACTGGATCTACTCAAAATAGCTAGGTGCGCAAAAGTTGGCGGAAGCCTGTTGATACGGCAGATATCTAATGGAACCGCTAAGATGTGGATCATACGAAGTGGAAGCGATACTGGAAGCTTCATTTATGGCGGTAATTCTAGGCCCCGATAAAAACTAGAATTTTCTAGCCTTTCATTTTTTTATCATTTTATTACCTCCTTATTAAACTATTTATAATATTTGTAGGTACACAACTACAAAGTATGGTAGGCTTCTTCAGCTTTCACCTTGTGTTCATGTCATCTTCACATTCTAACTATTCTATCATATGACTGTTATATTCTCATTTCATTCGCTACTACATCAATTGCTGTTCGTTGTATGGCTGTATTGCTTTGTTGTCGTAGCTATCACAATTTATTTCAGTTGTTAGAAATTGACTACGACTAACTCGTATCTTTTTTTTTGTACTGAATTACTTGTTTATTATTTATCTGAGCAGATACGCCGCAAATTTACGTATTCCCAAAGGATCAGACGGTGATCAGCAATAAAGTAGCATCATTCGTCTGTATGGCAGATGGTCGACCAGCGCCACATATCGAATGGCGCAAAGGCGGTCGCCGAGTGTCTACGACCCGCTTTTCGATTCAGAACATTCCTGGTGGATCAGTACTTCGCATCGATCCCGTTCGTGTCGCAAAGGACAATGCGTCGTACGAATGCTTAGCTGAAAACGGTGTCGGCGAGCCGGTTCGAGCCTCATTCACCCTCTACGTACTGGAAGAGGACAACGTACCGCGTGGTTTTCCTTCATTCAGCCTGCTGCCAAACATGCAGGGTATTGAGAGGAATCGTAGTGCGATTTTGCCATGCCGCGCTGAAGGCGATCCCGAACCGACGATCTCGTGGCTTCATAACGACGTCCCTGTTGATTTGAATAATCCGCGGTATCAACTCATCAACGGCGGATCTCTACAGATTTCCAATGCCCAGGAGGAGGACCAAGGTAACTATGAGTGCGTGGCCGAAAATGGTGTCGGTACTCAGGTCTCGCCTATGGCAACTCTTTACGTCAAGCTTCGTCGGGTGCCGCCATATTTCTCAATTCCACCCGAGGCACGCTACGAAGTGTCACCTGGGGGTTCGCTAAACATCTCGTGTACGGCCGTGGGTTCACCGATGCCCTACGTGAAGTTTCGTTACACAGACGGTGACGACCTACCACCGCCTGCCGGTAAACAGCAATACCCCGAAGGAAGGAACAACCTCACGTTAGAGAATATTCGTGAGTCGGTCAACTATACATGTGTCGCTCAATCGAAACTAGGCACAGCTGAGCATCATCTGGCAATCGTTGTGCAAGCGTTACCGAAACCCCCTTCGTCTGTGTCATTCTCCGAGGTGACCACTACTTCAGTGCGGCTCGCATGGAGCTACGACGCTGGAGCGGAGAACATCCGCTACTACGTCGTGCAGTACAAGCCACGCGGGGCGAATTCAGCCTTCTCCGAGATCTCGGGCGTAACCGGCAGTAACATCTATGTTCGCGACCTGGCGCCGTACACGGAGTACGAATTTTACGTGATCGCCATGAACGACCTGGGTCGTGGTTCACCCTCTGATCCTGTAATTGTCACCACCGGTGAAGCGGGTATGTAGTCAATAAACAACTTCATAACAAAATCGAGAAAAAAAAAAGGCAAATTGGTGTCCTACAGTTGACACGTCCTATAGACACGAAGAAATTTGTACGACGCACTCTATATCTATCTTAAGGGCGGCATGGTTAGTAATTATGCGTACATTTGCAAGATAATAGTATAATGAAGCTGTACAACTCTGATAATGAAAAGAAATCAACATCGAAGCAAACGATCCCAGTGATGTAAAAGGCTTTACTGTAACATGGATGCATTCATAACACGGAGTATTACATTGTATCACGTTCGTGTTGCGTAAAATGTACGACAGCAGTGACGCTACCTACCAGGACTCCACGAATGCACTCACGTTTTATCATAGCATTCTATTTTACTACATGTAGTTAAACAGAAAATATTTTTTTCTCTTTCTTGAACATTATAAATTTGCGTAACTGTGGAACTTTGTGGCGATTTACGATTACTACTTCAAGTTCCACAGTTACGCAAAGCATACATATTCATCTGAAATACGTTTGTGACACACATTGTGACACACAAAAAATGTGACACACATTTTTTTTATATAAAGCTTATTATACAAGTGCACGCTACAATATATACGGTACATGGCGGCTGGCTAATGAAGATCAGACATTCAGCCATAGGGCTCTTTGTCTTTCTCCATTGCCATACATGACCCGGATGTTTGGAAAACATTATTAACATTAATTCGAATGCTTCATCCTAGGGTAGCACGAAACAGCAGTCTAGTATCTCGGTGTGATGGGCCGCGGTTCGATTGCAACATGTGCGATAGTTGTACAATGCTAGTAGTAGCATTAGTAATAAGCAGTATCAGTCTTAGTAGCAGTAGGGCAATGCTCTCTCCCCTAACGAATTGACGTCTTATACCCTTTCTGTCCCTTCCCACTCCCACGTCCTTTTCCGTTTCTCTGCGGTAGTTTTTTTGCAATTGGTTCTGTAAATGTTTTTTGAGGACGCAGATAGAAGCGATGGCTTTCCTCACCTTCTACCTTAAGCTCGGCATGTACCTTGATTAAAAAGCACTGATAGAAGTTTACGAAAAAGTAAGTTTGTGCAACTGTACAGGACTACAGATGATCATATGAGACAGGGGTAATTTTGTTTTTCTGAGTTATTTAATTCAGCGTTCGCTCGATGGTAAGTGATTGTTTTCGATTGGGCTCCTAATGAAAATACGGCCCGCGTATATATACGTACGTAGATAACAGGTTTCTCTGCAAACGGATAGTGGCGAGGGTCACGTATCTATACAACGAATACTTAGCTGTTGCTTTTGTTGTTGTTGTTTTCGTGTGCACGAGTCTGTGTAAGTAGAATCGATGAATGTTGGCTAATAGTACCGCGCTGTCGAGTCGCTTAAGAACCAGTTGTTTTATTTCCATGTCTTGTCAGACAGAAGGGGAAAAAAGCGTGGGGCGCAGCTTCTTTACGCTACACGCTTTGTTGCCTCCTGTCGAGTTTAGGCGGACCACAGTACAGAGCCCTACGTTACTGCTACGCAAAACTGCTGCTTCACTTTGTCCGGCCCGAACTCTCTACCAGAGAAGGCCAGAGATCGATGATCATTTATAGTTTTCAAGCGCGTCCAAGCAGGCCAGCCGTACAATTGCATTAGCTGTTCCTTTGTTAACGTGCTTTCCCGCGCTAATTCCCGAACGCATGTAAATAAAGTGAGGTTATACCGTAACCTAGCTGGTCTGCAGTGCCTATGCGAATCAGAAAGACTCAGACTGAATCATTTTTAGGTACTTATAGATTGGAAACAAGCACTGAATTTCATAGAATCGATCCAAAATAGCCATGTTAGAATATAGGAATAAAGTACGGGACTAACAAAGTAGTTTACGAGTATTCTTGAAACAACAGTTGGTTAGACCCACAGATAAGACAAAAAACTGAGTAGGAAATTGTAGGCCTGGAAACGGTTTCGTTAGCAAATCTAGAACTGGGAAACGTCGCGCCATTTCCTTCGAAACTGCCTATCTCCTTTGCATTTTGCATACGCAGAAAATGTTCAAAGTAAGTTCTGTTTGGTCTTAGCGTAGGAACTACATTAATGACACATATATAAACGCACGAAAGCTGCCCACTGACGTCGGACTTACAGGACCACAAAACACTAAGAACCATGTTGTAAATGGCTCATAGATAGATAGATAGATAGATAGGCCGCATGTGTAGACAAAGGAATTAATTAGATACAACAGACGATACATAGATGAAGTGTAAAATTTCTGGTAATTCCATGCGTACCTTTCACATTTATCACCAGTTATACTTATATAGCTATTTGCATAGCTAATGCTGCGTGTTATGTACGTATTCCTTATAACTGTATACCTGTATTTACCCTTCATTTGCGAACCGTTTGATTGTCTACCCTCCACTAGTGGACATGCGTCGTCAAGTCAGTAAGTGAAAAACACAACTAGAATCGTGTAGTATAGATAATTACTTAATAATAACTCTACCATACCACACATATATTGTATTATATGCCGCATTTCTACCCATATATCAGATGGCAGCCAGCCATGCGCAGCAATTCGATATTGCTAAGGGGATTCACACAATTCATTAAGTGCAGACAATTGATGATAACTACGCAAGGACAATAACGACGATGTACCGATCGTTATTATGACCAACGTTGTCGTCTTTTGTCTCGTGATGATCTTCTCGGGTTCGCCTGCTCTACTTACTAAGGACCTGCTTTGTAAAAGAGCTAGTGAAAGGAATCACCCGGTACCGACGCCGCCGACGTAGAACTCTGCAGACCGTGTTGTCGAGAGCTAAGGACGTAGAGCTAAGAAGGCAGCCGTTGAAAGAACACGAGCAGCCAGACCGACAAACGAGTAGTGAAGCTAACTGCTATGTGTTGTCTTCCACTGATCAGCAGCAACTGGTTAAGTCCCTACAGATGAAGAGGAATACGTCTTGACTGGCTTCAGTCCGAACCGCTATGGCTGCTGTCGCGAACAGTGCCTCCTGGAGTAGTACCTATGCCGCCGATGCCAATGGTATGGAAATGAGGTGGGGAGCTCTTTTTCCTTTTCCACAGGCAAAGAAGGAAGGCCCAGTGATAAATCAAAGAGGGGTGAGACCATCCGACGAGAATTTGTCGACAGGCACACAAGGAGCTCTAGCGTGGCCCAGCTCTCATTCGTCTGGACGGGGATACAAAATGGTGGTGCTCGGGGGTGATGTGAACACCAATATAGTATGTGAGAAACCCCGCTACCAATAGTAGGATGCAGCGAAACGGTCTAATGACTTACGAGGTGTTTGTGGGCGGAGGTCGGTAAGGGAAATGGGATGAAGGTCTGATGGGAATACATTTTGTTTGAGGCGTGGCGCCACTTGGGACCAGCACGAATGAGGAACCATTGTTTGAGTTCGAAAAGCAGGAGAAGGAACAGGTTCAATAGGTCCATTGCAGGGTGGTCGGAGTGGCCATGCTACGGCTGGACTCCGACCATCCTTAATTACCCCGCTGTCCGAATAGATGTACGCCGAAACGCAGAACGAGCGGCGAATTGTGCTGCAAGCGAAATGGGTAGGCGTTTAAGTATTGTTAAAATTTGGATGAAACTGGATGGGTGAGATGAAAAGAGGGGGTCAGCGAGAGATATCTTACGTGAACTAATCATGGTGACTGTATTAGTATTAAAATAGGTTAAAGGGATGGAACGGCCCGACGCCGACATGCTTGGAAAAGGACCGTTTCGATGTTTGAGTTGAAGGTGGCAATGTACAGTGGTGTAATGGTGGTCTGGCGGATCAATTACGAAGAAAGAAAGAGAGATGGTGACCGCTCAGAAGGCTGCCAGTACTGCAATGGTGGATGGTGGACAAGGAATCCTGAATCTCCTTTGCCACCACTCCGTTGAATTTGAATGTTTCTACTGACGGTAGCGCGTGCAGCTTACCCACAGTCCACAATTCGCTCGTTACCCTTTTCAGAAATATGAATAACTGCTGCGAGGCTGGAAGTTAGAAGGCCATTCTAACCATGCTAGTGGGACTGGCTTCCAGCTCCACTGGATAAACTCAAACGAGTGGAGGTTACCTTGAGACGGGAAGTCATTAAGGCATTTTATCTATTGGGAATTAAGGTAAATGCTCATAGACGCGGCGAGCTGAGCGTCCACGTTATAGGGAATGACGCAGGCATTTTAGGGGTCATTTAGGGGCATGACGATAGAATAGCTTGATGCTTCACCGGACTAACGAGCAGAAGCTCATCCGGGAGTAATTTACTTGAGCGAAACTATCGGACGTCAGACCGCTGACTCAAATATGGAATACGACTACTATATCGAGTAGCCGAATGAACGAGTGCGGTTCGAACGCGTTTCCAATGTTATGCAAGCCTACGAAATGAGCGGGCAAAAGTGCAGTGGCCAATGTTTGGCCAGTACTTAGCCATGCGTATATATAGATATCACAGTCTGTAATAGAAGCTTCCTTTTATTTCATTATTATGATTGCAGAGCCTGGAAGTGCACCGAGGAACGTCCTCGCGAGACCTCTGAGCTCCAGCACTGTAGTGGTGCAGTGGGACCCGCCCAAGGAGCCCAATGGCCAAGTGATGGGCTACAAAATCTTATATACGAAGAACCCCACGTTACCGGAAACGGCATGGCACGAGTATCAGGTTGATTCGAGCCGACTTACGACGTTGTCGAATCTCACCCCACTTGCGACATACACAATAACGGTAAGCGCAGAATTAACGAAGGCAGCTTAATTTTTGTCATGAACCGATATGCCGCCGTGTTTGTCCTATTGCAGGGCACCGTACAATGTGATTACTTATCATCGTTTCACCTTATTATTATTTTATTATTAAATTTAGTATATTAAGATTAATACACACTATAATAAAGTTTGTTAATCTTTTTTACATACATTTTTTATTCTATAAATAACTTTTTTCTATAAAATTTATTCTATAAATAATTTTTTTGAATTATACTGTTGTCACCGTTTTATAATACTCCCAAAGGTTTCGTTTCAGAAATTCCTCCATGGTTATCTGTGTGTGTACAAACGACTGTTTATAGTGTGATTCTATTACGCTTTTAAATACAAAATGTAAATGTTAGACACATTTGTAGAACATTTTGCATGGTCCACGTGAATCACAATATACGTTTACCCTCCGCCGATATATCATAGGTGACATTCAGATGCTAGTCTCAATCCTAATCGCTGTTTTTCAATGGTTGTTATAGCTAGAATTAGCATCATGGTGAATGTTCATCTACCTAACATCAAACCAATTTACTTAACATCAACAATTCCAAGGGTCGCTGGTACTAGCGGGTATCTAAACTTAGGTATCTATATCTACGTAAAGTTAGCTCATATGTATTGCTCTGTAACATATAAGTAACAAAGATGAGTGCATTTCATTTTGATTCGCCCCCCCTTCGATTCATTATTAAAGTTGATGCTTCCGCCCCTTTTTTCTGTCCTTTTTTTTTATAGGTAAAGGCGTTCACTGGACGTGGTATGGGGCCGGCTTCGCCGCCGATTCAAGTCAAGCTCCAGCAAGGGGTGCCTACCCAGCCTAGCCAATTAAAGGTAACGGCCACCGGTGCGACCACTGTGCAGCTGAACTGGACGCGTCCCGCCTACTCGGCTGACAACATCGTCGGTTATGTCATATACTGGAACGACACCTACTCACAAAACGAGGAACACAAGGAGATCGGCGACGTTGAGACGTATACACTCGACAACCTGTATCCTGACACAATCTATTATGTCTGGGTGGCGGCACGCTCGCGAGCCGGGGAAGGGGCTGCTACCCCGGCCTTTCCTGTCAGGACGGAGCAGTATGGTACGTCCTACTAAAAAGAAACGTCATAACGACAATAACAGACAATTCCAGCGCCGATTGCGGCCCGACCACCGACTGCGGTGACGATTATTTCGCGTGGATTGTGGTGATAATGATCGTTGGTAACGAAAGTAGAAACAGAAAGAAGACCAAACGTTTCTATTTCTCTGCAGTCTGCAGAATGCGAGTTAACACTTGAACTATATATGTATTTATTAAATAATTACTGTAAGATCTTACCTTTCATGTTACTACTTTAGGATTTACGCGCATTTGTGTGATTGATAGTAACCTTTACTATTGAGAAAATTTGTCCGATATCGAGATTTCTGCTATGATCATGAAAAAAAAAGTATTGCGAAGCTCGCTCGCCAAGAGAAGCTCCTTTTCAAGAACACCAGAATACCGCTAAGACACCCATCCCTTATTCATCCCTTGCACCTAAATATGCTTCGAGACAAAAGTTAACCTTCGACCTTGGATCGGAGTGCACAACAAATGAGCATTTTAGTTTCTGATTATTCTGTCATTCTTTTTTTTCGTTAAAACCTGCTCCATTTGATATAAAGCAAAAAAAAAACCCGAAACCAGTGTTTGATGTTTGGAGACGTCCGTTTGAGACCTATGAATTGCAGATCGCACGCGTCCAGTAATCTGGTCTGAACTACGTTATCTACTGATCATTAAGCTATATAGAATGTCCCATATGGCTCATACGGTATCTTGTCCAAGGCCAATATAATTTCATGCACTATTAATGGACTCCTGCTATATAAGTTGGAGGTCCATTGTGAGCCTGAAAGTGACCAGTAGATAATCGCAGTTGTTGCCAACAACACCAGTGTTCTTTTCGTAGTTGTTCAGTTTGTCAATTTACTTACCAGTAGTAAAGAGGGTACATGCATGATGACCTGAGCTTGCATTCTCCTTCGCCGTTCCGCGCTAGTTATCGGAGATCCGCTCGAGGACATCGTCGGTATGCCGGTCAACTCGCAGGCCGTTCGAATCAGCTGGCAGGCTCCGCCCGTAATGAGTCGCGCGTCTAACACTGTCCCTGTCACCTACTACAAGATCCGTTACCAGAAGATCAACGACAGGAAGCAAGAAGCTGAGCCGACAAAAGAACTGCAGGTTAAGCCCGATGAGACGTCAGTTGAGGTCTCCGGCCTCGACAAATGGAGCCCGTACCGCTTTTGGATCATGGCCGGCACAGCTGTTGGCGATGGCCCGCCTTCTAGGGAGATCATGGTTACCACCGACGAAGACGGTAGGCTTCTGACGGGAGGCGCGTAAATCGAATTTATCGTACGCCACCCTATTAACCATATCATCATCATCATCACCACCACCACCACCAACAACAACAACAGCAGCAGCAGCAGTAGCAACAACAACAACAACTTCTGCTCGTCAACAATAACCACTACTGACTGGCCATATTGATTAATCTTTACTGCCGTCAATCTTCTGCTGCTGATATCGGGTGCTCAGAACAGCCTGTGACGCTTGGCAGACAAACAAATAAATCTTTGGTGATGGCACTACTTTTTCTTCCGATCGACTAACAAAAACACGCGCGGCCTGTCGTTCCATCGACGGACAAAATCTATGTGCTTTTCCGGCCACTAACGGCACATGTGTGTGGCGTTTCTGCGGCTTCGGAACTGTCTATTTGGACAGGATACAAACCGTTCGTCGAATCGCTCTGTCCCTCTTGTCGACTTTAACGGATACGGGGGATCGAGCGGACGACTTTTCTTGGCGTGGTTTTGGTGACCTGGGTTAGCTAGCTGGGTCGACCTTCTTCCTCAATCTTGGGCGATGGTACGGCGATCGACAGCATTTTCGTAAACGCCGATTTGCATCTCCCAGAACCTTCCCCAGAGCTTGCTCGGGTGCCGACTTTTCCTGCCCTCCCTTCTTCTTTTCGGTGAGCCAGTCGCCTCAGTGCGCTGGTTATCTACCTAAACTAATTAATATTGAATGCTGCACGTTGCATGACATTTTACACAACTTTTAACCATATGTCGCACAAGGATTTTATTTACAAGTGTCACGCGCCATGCCGACTTCAATGACTGAGTTGCGGTATGGAGGACAAGTCACATTTTATGCGCTTCGTTCACGTTGCTGCCTGCGATTTGGTAGTACGACAATTTGGTGCGCATTTGAATACGATGGTTTTGCTTGCGTTTCGTCTTCTTACATGGTCTTTGCTTTTCTTTTTGCAAGCAATTCGAACGCATCGAAGCCCGCGTCTCTCGAAGTGCTTGCAGTGAACTGTTTTCCTTCTTGCTTTCCTTTTTCTTTCGTCTTTCGCTTTGAACATTTATCTTTTGTCTTGTGAAAATCGCTTTACCTATAACCTAGGCATTGTTTTTCCGCTCAGCTTTTCTTTGCTGCCTTCTTGACTCGACGCCAGATATTCGAAATTGACATGACTATACAATATTTCGACACATGTTCCCGTTGATTTATTTTTACTAATGGCAAAAACCTTTATGGACAGTTTTCTACTTAATTACTACTCGACTTTATTTTTACCTTGTAAGACATCTTGTAGGCAAAATATTTTGACACAGGCTATTTTCTCAGAGGGGTAACGTAATAATCTGAAGTTACACACGCACAGAATGCTTATGGTCCAATGCGGGTATACCTAAAACAAATGAGATCACCCGTTCTTCCTATTTTCAGTAATAGCTCTTTGACGCTCAACTGATCGTGCTAATCGTTCCACACCATCTCGCTTGAGCAACTTTGAAAAGCACTCCCTAACAAGTCTAGCGAATCTCTAACATATAATCTACTCTTCTCCGGTTTGTTTATTATTCTGTGTGGGCTCATCGATATGTTTCCTGCCTGTGCTCATTACGATGGCTCTACTTATTCCGTTTATCGCCATTATACTTACATAGTCCCTGGCGAACCACGAAACGTGAAGCTGTCGCCGCTTAACAGTACGGCCATTTCGGTCAACTGGAAGCCTCCTTCAAACCGCGACCGACACGGCCTGATCCGGGGCTTCCAGATACACGTTCAAGAAGTCAACAAAGCTGGAGATATGGTCGGAGAACCACTTCGATACGACGTCGCCGATGAGAACGCAGAGACGTTTAATATCACTGATCTTCAACCGGACACAGAATACAGCATCCAGGTAATTCCGCGCCTTTAGTTGTATGCTATTATAGGTTCCGGCCTTCATTACCTAACGGAATGAACAAACAACGGGGTAAACAATACCGAGCAAAAGCGTACAGCTGGAACTCAACTGTTAATTAAGTATTTTATATGTATACACCAGATATGAACCAATTTATTAAACGTTAGATCTTTTGGGCTAGGAATTTTAACTAACGTCCACTGCGGCACAGATATAGTTAGCCAAAAACAACGCCGACAGTATGCTTTATATAAGGATCGAGATGTATATATTTGTGAACCTCGACGTACTCATTTGGACGCTTTTACACACACAAATATTTTAAATTCTTATTATGAAAACATTGTTTATGTATTTTTGTATACATACATACCCACCGGCCATAATTATTAGGGTTTTTCATAGCGCCAGTCAGCATTGACTTTCAGCACGTAACGTTCGTCATGCGCACACGGGCAACGAGTTTTCGTGCAAGCCATAAAGTCTTAGAGAAAATATTGGACAGAAAAGGAAATTGTTTGGCCCTTGGGACTTGGCCATACTTTTGTCATACAATGGTTATTATCCACAGAAGGCAATTAAACTCACGGATTCACGGTATAGGCCCTATGACAAGCCTGCTTTGCAGTGCCTACAGGTGGAGGGATTTCATTACATATTTACGTTTGTGTAATGCGTAATATTGTCTTATGTAGTAACTACAACGTAGCTTACTCGTGTTCCCCAGATGAAAAAGAGTGCTGCAATGATAAAACCGTTGCCGTATAAAAACGCCTAATACGTACTAACACTGTAATATGACATACTAAAAGTAAATTTTAGGTCTGAGTGAGTTGACGTGAGAATGATTGTATACAACCATTTATTACCAATTATTATCGCTGGTAATCTCAAACGGATCAACTATATACGGTTCAATCAATCGGCGCTCCGTTAGGTGTTTATCCTTTTCTGAAAAAGTTGTATACCTAAATAATAACAAAGTGATGAATAACGGTATCTGTTTCCAAAACGCTTTTTAGGTGGCAGCAGTTACCCGGAAGGGCGACGGCATGCGCAGCCGACCCAAAACAGCAACTACACACGGAGGTGTGCCCACCAAACCGGAGCTCAAGGCAACAGTTAAAACGACGGAAGATAACAAACTTCGTGTTGAACTCGCTTGGCAGAGACCTTCGCACACGTATGGGGAGCTGCAAATGTACCGTCTTCGCTACGGGCCCATGGATGGGGAACCCCTTGAGGAGACCACGTTCACGCACAATGAGTACCAGATTACTGTAGAAAACCTTTGTACGTAAAGGAACGTCGAAACATCTATGTACACATATAAGCGCTCCGTTGTATACCATCACGTTACAATACATCACGTATTTGGCCACCAGTAGACACTGCTGTTCGAGTACACTTGCAATCACTGGAGTTCTATTCATATAATTTTACGATACTCATCGCACTACTCATATCATCTTTATTTGGTCTTCCAGCACGTGGCGCGCGCTACGAGTTCCGGTTAGCAGCGCGCAACCTGATCGGGTGGGGCCAAGAAGCGATTTCAAGGATCAACACCCCCGAAGGGGAGCCAACCGCCCCTCCGTATAATATCACGTTTCGACTTCAGAGCCCGGACACCGCTGTGGTAACTTGGGACGCTCCGCCGATGGCTCACCGCAACGGCTATATCGCCAACTATATGATCGAGTTTCGCAAGAGGGGTTCCGACTTTGCCGGCAACGACCGCAACACATCGAAGACACGCACCGTGTTTTCGGGCCTGGAGGAACGTACTGAATATGTGTTTCGAATTAAGGCCTGCACAAACAAGGGCGCCGGGCCTTGGTCCAAGGAAGTGATCGTTGCCACACCGGGTGATATCCCGTCGGAGCCGACTAATGTCCAAGCTATCGCTACGAGCGATGCCTCGTTCGAAGTTTGGTGGGACGAGGTGCCCTATTTCGGTGACATTCTTGGCTACAAGATTCTCTATACAAAGACAGTGGTGGAGGATCTTGATGATTGGGACGAGAAAGTCATTCCTTACCTGACATGGTCAGCCGATATTACTGGATTAGAGCGGGATACGGTGTATGCCGTTCGGGTAGCCGCTTTTCAGAAAACATCCTATAGCGACGTAACGATTGGCAAGTTGTCGCAGCAAATCACCGTGCGTACGTCCCCCACTGATGTTGTTACGCAGCTGCGCGCTTCCATCATCACCACCCACGGGTTCTCTCTGTCCTGGCGACCACCCAGCCGGTTGGACTATATCAAGTTTAACATCAGTTACTCAGCCCAAAAGGAGTTTGTAGACAGCCAAGGCGTGTTGCAGGAATTGCCGATTCCGGCACAAAACGTCTTGCTCGATGCGGGGTCGACAAACTACTCTATTGGTGAGTTGAAATACAAACATTGTTCAGGGTAAGATTGCGGCTGTCTTTCACCGAGACATAAGCTGAAAAATTCACTTACGAGTACAGGCCTTCATCGGAGATCACAATAATATAGCTCAAGACATAAGTACATAAGCATACGTAGACCTACCCTACGCGGTTAAAGATAACATTTATTATTGTTGTTTTGATTTCATAGAGACTCTAATGCCGTTCACTACGTACAAAGTAAATGTGACGGCAATCGCAAGGAACGGTTCGTACAGACCTGCAGCAAAAATTTCCGTAACCACAGCCATGGCAGCGCCCAAACCTTTAGTTAAACCCGACTCTCTGGGTCCAACACAGAACCATGAGATATTAGTAGTACTGCCCCAGGCGTCGGAAGAGTTCGGTCCTATCAAGCACTACTTCTTGGTGGTTGTGCCCGCTGAAATGGCTATCAAGGAACCCGATGATTACCGAATCGAAGACGTGAGTATTCAGCGGCAAGCAAACATGTCGTGCATGTTTACTTGATAAACTATTACGCATGCTTATTACCCATGGCTTCTAGTACTAGACAGATTCATTGCATTCCAGCTGGACTGGAGAACACGAATAGCATCATAACGGGAGCAAACAGAAAAATGCCTTATGAACACTTCAAGAAAAATGTAATTCGAAATAAAATGCGTTCAGCTAGTTCTAGATTAGTAACTTAATAGTATTCATTCATCGGTCTCTGTTGTTTATAATTGTTTTCATACACTTCCCAGCTCGTAAACGTTGTAAACAATGAGGAGGATACAGCGTACATCGCTGCCAAGTTTTTGAGACTGGCGATGCCCCAAGAGTTCCCCTTGGGTGATGGAAAGATCTATGGTGGCTTTCGCAATCGCAAACTGCACACATATCGCCGCTACAGGATATTCGTTCGTGCCGTAGTCGACGCACCGCAGAAGAACTTAGTCACTAGCAGCCCGTTTTCGCAGGACCTCGGACTGGACGTAATGACACACTATTCCCGCAATCCCACGCAGAACCCCGCCGTCCAGCCGCGTCCGACCAGCCACGGCGACGTCGGGTGGATTATCGGGCCCGTGCTAATCATCATTTTGCTGGCAGCCACCCTCACTCTGTTCTTCATTCTCGCCAAGCGAAGGCGGGGCTTCGTTCAGTCCAAGACCCCCAGCTGCAACGGTAACGGGCCAGCCAATAACGAAACCACCATGAAGTTGCTTCAGCCGAATGGTAGCCGCTCGATGGGCGATGTGGCCGGCGATTATGGGGCGGGTATCAATGGCGCTGTTGGCGCTGATCCCCTCGAGCTGCGTCGTATGCAGACTCCCGGTATGCAGGGTCATCCACCGATTCCGGTGACAGAACTCGCACAACACATAGAGCGCCTGAAGGCCAACGACAACCTCGCCTTCTCGCAAGAGTACGAAAGCATCGATCCCGGACAGCAGTTCACCTGGGACAACTCGATCTCGGAGATCAACAAGCCGAAAAACCGCTACGCCAACGTCATTGCGTACGACCACTCGAGAGTGGTACTCGAGCCGTTACCGGGCATTCAAGGGTCAGACTATATTAACGCCAATTATTGTGACGGGTTGGTACAGCGCATAGATGTTCGTTACGTGAGAGTTGCTTACGTAAACCTCTCTGATATATGTGTGCATGCAAGGTTTATGTAATTCGAAAATAGTGAGGTTCTACGGCATTACCCTAAAAAGCGCACTATAGGTTATTAAATATTTTATCTTTATCAAATATTTTTAAAAAATTGTTTAGTAATAGAAACATTATTTATTAAATATCATAAACTATTCACTCTTCATAACAAATCCCATAACCATCCCCTCTATTGCAACCTCTCTGGATTGTATTATATCTCGGTGGAATAATATTTATCAAAGGGCATATCTATTTGTATACACTACGTGTGCAGGTGTATATGATATGACATTAATTAACATCAAAGGAAGTTGAATATGGTAACTGCGTTATTATAAAGTACAGAGTGTACAACAGTATAGGACCGCCTTTATCCACCGACGCCTATTAATATAGCAAAATAATCAATAAGCATTATTACGTACATCCATATATTGCTCTTCTTCTCACCTCTATATGACTGTTCAATAGGTACCGACGGCAGAACGCCTATATCGCTACGCAGGGTCCCCTACAAGAGACTATCGGCGACTTTTGGAGGATGGTATGGGAACAACAATCTGCTACCGTAGTCATGATGACTAGGCTGGAGGAACGAACCCGAGTGAAGTGTGATCAGTATTGGCCCAGCAGAGGTAGTGAACGTTATGGGGTGATAGAGGTGACTCTCGAGGACGTGAGTGAGTTAGCCACCTATTGTGTGCGCACCCTAAGCCTGCGCCGTGATGGCTTTCTTGAAATGCGTGAAATCAAGCAGCTGCAGTTCACCGCATGGCCCGATCATGGTGTGCCCGACCATCCTACGCCATTCCTCATGTTCCTGAGGCGGGTTAACCAGCTGAACCCGCAGGGCGCTGGACCTCTGATCGTGCACTGCAGCGCCGGAGTCGGCCGTACCGGGTGCTACACCGTCATCGACTCTATGTTACAGAGGCTGCGCCACGAGGACACCGTTGACATCTATGGGCACACAACATGTCTACGAGCCCAACGTAACTACATGGTCCAAACTGAGGACCAGTACATCTTCATCCATGACGCTATCCTTGAAGCTGTCATGGCGGGTCACACGGAGGTGTCGAGCCACCAGCTTTATCAGCATGTCAACATGTTGCTGACGCAGAACGTTGATGGATCAACAAAACTTGAAGCAGAGTTCCGTCAACTAAATGAGATGCAGATCCACAACGCTAAGTTCATATCGGCCAACCTCCCGATGAACAAGTTCAAAAATCGGCTAATGAACATTTTGCCGTACGAGGCTAGCAGAGTGTGTTTACAGCCGCTCAGGGGCGCTGACGGGAGCGATTATATTAATGCCAGCTTTGTTGATGGTTACCGCTATAAAAACGCCTACATTGCCGCACAGGGCCCGATGGCCGAAACAACGGAAGACTTCTGGAGGATGATCTGGGAACACAACTCGAATATCATTGTTATGCTCACCAAGCTGCAGGAGATGGGGCGGGAAAAGTGCCATGCGTACTGGCCGAGTGAGCGTTCACAAAGGTATCTCTACTACGTTGTGGACCCCATCACGGAGTACAACATGCCCTCGTATGTAATGCGGGAATTCAAGGTGACCGACGCCCGCGACGGACAATCCCGCACCGTGCGCCAGTTCCACTTCACTGACTGGCCTGAGCAGGGAGTCCCTAAGGACGCCGAGGGTTATATCGATCTCATTAGTCAGGTGCATAACGTCAATTATTTCCTCATCATTCAGTTTATGCATGTTATCAGTTTCCAGTAGAATATTAGTCTATAGGGATAGAATACCGACTTGCTGTGGTCTCGAGTTCTGTAAGTCACCAACCTTAATTACGGGCAAAATACAGGTTAATACTGTTTATGCTATATCCAAGGCTTATACAAGGCTCCGACCGTGATTCTCTTTGTTTTAAAAGAGCATTTCGTACTTAAATCTGTATTCCTAACAATTTTAATCCGACTAGCTCGTTCATGGCTAGCAGGCAATTATATGTGATCATCCGTTCTCTTTGTCTTCTATGTAAACACACTGAATTATAGGTACACAAGACCAAAGAACAATTCGGCCAGGAGGGCCCAATCACGGTTCACTGCTCGGCAGGTGTAGGTCGCACTGGAACATTTATCGCCTTGAGCATCGCTCTCGAGCGGCTGCAGTGTGAGAGTCAGGTGGATCTGTTCTCTACTGTCCGGATGCTACGAACGCAGCGTCCGGCAATGGTACAAACCGAAGATCAATACCAGTTCTGCTATCGAGCATTGCTTGACTACCTCTCAAGCTTCGACCATTTCACCAGCTGAAACGTTTAGCGTCAGTAAACGGCCAGAGCGCTAATAGCACACATCTGCGAGGATACGCTCTGGGTCGCCGCTGATAACGACGAAGTTTTGTTTATATATCTTCATGTATTACTACTATAATATTAACCAGTTTGTTTGATATGAACTGATCGACAAACAACAAACGACGAAGCAGCAAGCATAAGTAAAACCAACAACCAATATATATGATATGAAATACTAGTGACAGCGCATCAACAAGACACTGTTCTGATCGAAACTGATAACAGAACTACGCAACAAAACCGAAAGTAGCGTTGACAGCCTCGTCTGTATCAGACAGATATAATTTAGTCGCTCTGCTGTAACAAGAAAAGCGACGTTCTTATCGACGATCTCTAACCTCGATCGGTGAGGGACAGCGTAGCGTTCGCTTGGCTTAACCTCCATGGTGCCATCCGTACAGGACGTATTTGCATTAGCGGCCGACCACAATTACGCTCTAATCGATCGTTTCAGGTTTGTCTCCGGCGACCCTGGGCGAATTTCTCAGCGGTATGAATAGGAAAACTCTTCGTCATGCAGCTGCATGGACTATTTGACTATGATTTCGTCTTGAAGGCAACAACTGATCTTGTCGACTGACCTCACAGCACAGATCATTCATATCATTTTGAGAGTGAGAGTGTCATGTGATTTTTCAATGTCAACGACAATTGATTCTCCCGCATTGACAGCTGTATACGCTTCTATATATGTATGTAGAACAGAATTCCTCATCTCTAGAAGCACGGCAATAATTACGATAGAAAGTATAAGAACGACTAGGTAATAATAACAATTGCTTAATTTCAATTAATTAATGTGTACGATATGTACGCAGCACTCATGCATATTTACATATACTGACCAGTGCAGAAGTCGACCGGGTGATGCCGACGCAGACGGCGAAATGGATTTGAAGTCCGTGCTGTGTGAAGAAATGTCGAAAAGTCGAGATGGATGCCGATAATATGGATTTGGATCGAAGTAGCCAATTATTTAGCTTTGCGTTTAATAGGACGGTTAAGTTTGTGATGCATGGAAATACTAGTACTCGAGTGCGGTGCCGATCAGCTGACAAACGCATGGGTGGCGTTGATATGAGGGTGTCGAAACCATAAAGCGACACGCAGAGGCGGGAAAGATAGGGGGTAGTACCGAAATTATATCAATCACAAATAGAAAAATGGACAAACCGTTTGTTGTACCGCAGAACATGGTATAAGTATGGTAAACATTGTGATGGCCTGCTTAAATGTCTTGGCAAAAATCCTCAAGCCCAGGAATTATTCGCTGAGCTTCAATGTGTAACAATGAGACGGATGCGGTAGATAGCTATCGAGAATTTGCGTCGAAGTTTGCCGGAGACTGGAGAATTGAATGGGTTATCGATGAGTGACTAGGCCGTCGAATACATCGTATTTCACATGCATAGTACTAGCGGTAGCAACAACACCAAGTGAGACAAAACAACATTGACGAAGTAGTCAGACAAACGATAAAAACACGTACACATAAGATATGCTTATGGGGTAATAAGATATGCGTCTGGCTGTAGGGGATCAACGGTAGGGAGGCTCTCGCAAACGCGGGTGGGCGCACTCATGCGCGGCTCAGGATCGGGAAGCTCCTCTATGTATGTGTCTACTGCTACTACCGTAATACTACTAATATCAACATTAACTAATATAACACAAACTAGACTTTTGTACTTTTGTATTATTCGTCGCACCCTAACTCGTACACACATACACATACTTCTTATGAAAAAAATCACCAAATTCCACAATATCTGTATTTTTAAATAACACAATTTTTGCGTCGATCGATAAAACCATCTCATCCGAAGTCATCTTTTGCGTAATGGCGCCTCACTGCAAGATCGAGCGCAATCGTTACGAGTGCTGTGGGCAAACGACTGTCATTTTGCCCGAATATTTTCTTATACGAAGCCCACCTCAAATGAGAGAATTCAAGCTGATCTTTACTAACGGAAAGAAGGTCCAAATTGAACACTGACCGTACATTTAGCTTGTACCTTCTACAGCAGACGGAATAGCCTAATTTTGTCTAAGTTCGCTCCCCTTCATTTCCCGTCGTTTTCAAAGGCCAACTAGATTTTCTATCTATTTTTTTTTTTAATTTTATATAATTGCGAGAATTATCTGCATTACTGCTATAAGCCTTCAAAGGGTTATAGTTAGGATTTTGTATTGTGCGCTTCTGTAGCTAACGATCTCGTAAGACTGCAACATTGACTGATTCTCTCTTTTGCTAGGTCATGCAAGTAAGACGAGCTAATTATTAATAGCTGATTAAATTTGTTTGAATTATTTCGTCTCAGTGGAGCCTAGGCCTCGTATGTGCACATTTACCTTAACACTTACCGAAATCTTGGTTGTGACCGACACGACGTAAAACCGCCATGTGAGCTGCTCCAAAAGCGAAGTTAAGACCTCGTGAGGTATATCCTCTTTTGTTAGCATCGCTTCAAATGAACACAATTTCGAAACAACCATTCGCAGCTACTTTTCGTAAAAGCGCTAGTGCACTGTTCGTCTCTAACAAATATGGCAAAGTCATTTCCATTAATTATAACAGTGAATTAACAATAGCCAACTTCGCTCAGTACTGTAAGATAAAGTGACACCTGTGGGTGGCTCGTATCGAGTGAAAGTTGCTTTAAAGAATGGAACGTATACTTTTTGGTTGACATTGGGGCTATGAAAATTAAGTTCTCAGTTAATTTTTGTATCTACTGATTGCTGCTAGGTGGAGCAGTTGTGCTAATCAAGGGGAAAACAGCGTAACGTCGAAACGTTAATAAGGACGTGGCTGATGTAGTAGGGATGTATCGAATAGGTTTTCGCCTATAACTGTGTGTACCTTGTGCGTAAATATGTTTGTGTCCCTAAGGTGTATGCACGGTGTTTATAGTTTAAACTGGTTAGTTAAGAAAAGACAATGGTGATGAAAAAACGGGCTAGACAGAAGCAATTAGCGCTGAACCTCGACCGATGCTCAATGAGCTATCGGTACCTGTATGACTGTGTGCCGGAGCAAATGAAGTTTGACGCTCTTAAGTGAGACTAGGTTAAGCTGATCCTGTGTCCATCAACGCCACCCTGTGAGCAGAGCTAACAGTGAGCCATAGCTCATAACACCGACAACCTCTGGCCACGACACCAAGACCATCCCATAAGCTTACAAAAAAACGTAACAACGCTGTGCAGGTGTTCTACATATTTGCACAAATAAATCACACACACACACACACACACACAGACACGCATACACACTCGATTACAGACCTATTACATTTGTAGGGTATGTGCGCAAAAACATAGGTTCACGGATACGACAGTCGTATGTTAGATTATTGAAAATAAAAGTACGACAGAATGAGAGACGAAAACCATCAGTCATAGTAACATCATGATGCAAAAGATAAGAGAAAATAACCACATTGTACACATGAGCGCAAGCCGCACTAACTTTCGTCAAACACATGCCATAGCCCCATCGAAATTCCTATGAAAGCGAATCAGTGAAACGCAGAAAGATATTTTTTCATTATTTGCTACTTTTCTATTTTATAGATTTTTTTTTATTTTATTCGGTTTTATCTTGATTTTCCAGCTCGTCAGTGTGTCAACAACAACAAGACCTGCATACTCCCCTACATTAGCAAAACCATTTGAATGAGTGATTGCGCACAGTGAGAAATATGGCCCATATGGGTTGATTCTGGAAATTATTAGTCGTCTTAATGCGTATATGTCGACAAAAAGGATATATTTGAACTACCGACACAAAATCAAACTAACATTGACCGCAAACGGAGATGATCACTACAGGCCGAATGTGGGAAACGTGCCGACGACGTAAATGTCGTGAAATGCATGTTTTGAAAAATCACATGAAAAATAATGAGGTAGTAAACAGACAGACATAAGCAGACGATTTTGTTGTGTTGTGTTGTGTAAATAGGTCTGTATATTTTTTTGCGTGTGTACTGATTTTCTCCTGTAATAATAATTTCAGCACATAAGCACGTGCTATTTGTATAAATGTGATGCGAAAATGTATGATTATTAATTCATGTGAATTTTTTTTGGCCGAATGAAAACCTGGACCGCAACGAACGGTGGGAACGGGGAGGATGAAGATGCATGAAGAAAAAGAGACTAAGTATTAACAGCAGTATTCAAACAAGATGAGCCTAAACGAACCTTGGTTGGTAAACAACTTGAACATATATTCATTGCAAGGCAGACTTTAGAAAAGTGTGCAAAACTGAAACAACAAAAAAGAAAGTTATCACGCTCGACAAACGGGATCAAGGAAGTTCCATACGTAAACAAACGAATAACGATTGCTTTTGTAAGATGGTAGAAAGGTACCACATTTCGTATGATAATAATAAATGACTTATGCAAGAGTTCGTCAATGTTAGGAAATTAAATGAGCAGATAAGTGATTTATGTCACAAACTACTTGAGTTCCCCTCATGGAAGTTGTTAAAATAACAAATAAAAGCTGTCTGAAAATGTGAGCGAAGCTGGCGACAAGTTACAATGGTGAAACACACTCGTCTCTATCGGTCTATATATTAGGCTCTTTTTCCTAGGCCCAAAGAAAAGCCTGTGGATCGAACCGCGACGAACACTACATGTCAACGCAGAAACCTCGCCGAATTGAGAAATGTCAGAGCTTGTAGCATAATATATCTACTGGATAATCGCTAAGGTAATTACCACATATAATTCAAATCGACGCGACCTACCACTATAACCGGTGTCGACAACAAATGGTCAATGATGATATGGTTATGATAAGGCCAGTAGTGATGGAAAATACGTAAGATATCAAAATGAAGAGAACAACAATTCTATTAATAGAAATGTATGTCAAACAAACAATAATTGTATTAATATTGTATGTAAATAAATTGCGACGTACAGACTAAGGAAATATATATATATATAACGTCAGAAAAGGCCAAAATCGTATGCTTTGTGTTTGGTTTTACGAAGTGCGAAGTCCTCACAGGCGAGCACGTACTATAGATTCCAATTAGTACATTGATGGGTTTCTCGATCGGAGAGTTTTAAGTTGCGTCGTCTCTTTTAAGTTTTACTACGTAAACGAGGCGATAGATATAACAGTTCGATCGACAGCTCTTGTGTTGGCGCATGGATCCGTTAAGTTGCGCAAGAGAGCTCGCAAAATCCCAAATTTCCTTTTTATGTTACGCGATATCATTTGTGGTCTATTAACGGAAGATACATGCTTTAGGTAAATGAAAATAACACAAAATATCAAATAATAACGTCTATGAATAAATACTATTTATAAGAAAAAATCATAGTGCTCGTAATAATTTGTCACGAGACAAGAATATATATATTCATGCAAATGGTGACAAAAGAATGAATGAGAGAAATACAAATGGGAACAGTCAAAGCGTAACAATACGATCAATGAACGAACATTAATGATTTAAGGTAACATATAATGAATATTATGACAATAATAATAAAAAAAATGACTGAAATATATACTTAGTATGATAATGAGGAGGGTCAAGAAGAAAATGACTATAATAAGCCATCAATTAGCACTGAACAGTACTACGGGCAATAGATAGTTCGTAGATACCGTTTGCTATTAAGTAAAATGGCCGGTAACAAGTTAAAATTACTTGTCAATAAACATATCATCAACCACAAATAAACAAATTTAGGCGATACAGGCATGGCTGACAAAGAACAGATAGCTAAAAAGGCTGATGAGAGAGAGATGACTTTCTAAGGTGAGAATGCTAACAGGAGAGCAGGCTGAAGGATGCCTTTAAAACGAGAAAAATAATGTGTTAAGAGAAATGGGCTAAGTATGTAAGAAATCATATTCGGACACCACTCGATGTACACAGATAGAGCCACTCAGACAGACACTTGCAAGAGAAAAAATCAGGCTTTTCATTTTACCACGCAGATGATTCGATGGGTATAAAATAGATCTAACATAACCAACCGTCTGATTCGTTTACGTAACTATATATAGTATGAATTTCTCGTTGTAGAAGTCTTCCTTCTAGCGATCTGTGTACTCTGTTCATACTTTCGTACCTAACGGCTATCATTTTAAACTCCCTGTGCCGACCTTAAGTTTTGGCAGCTGGTTCTTTAAAAAACATGATCGGACTCAGCTTCCTTCGTTGGTTCGTCCTTCGCTTTTTAATTTTCCGCGTGTTTTTTCTTCACGTAGTTTAATTAATAATAAGATATCTGAGAAGCCTACAAGACAATGGACAAAGGTCCCAAAAGCATTATAGGTACTGATTAATTCAAAACTGAAACTTTGAACTATAGCAGCAGCAGCAGCGGCAGCGGCAGCGGTACACGTTGTCGCGGAATATTGCTTTAAGAAATCTGAAGTCGTGAACTCTATTCCGCAGGATTTTGGATGATGTAACATACGAATGTGAGGATGTACCAGGCCCTGTCACCGGATGAACTTTTCCATAAATCGATTATAATTGTTTTTAACGATGCGTTAATTTAAATCGAGAGCGTTTTTCGCTTAGCCGCTGTTTATCGAGAAAAAAAAAAACATCAATATACCACCAGAGTGCTCGTGTATCAGAGAAAACATGATTCATATAAAATTACGTTTTTCTTTTCTTCTGTTGGTCCTTCTTGCGATAGAAATAAAAACTCTCTGTTCTAGGTACGGTAACGCTGACGTCGAATAGAGCAGGCTGAATTTGTTCATGTGTACACCATGATTTCTAAGCCGTATACAAGCACATTAGTTGTATATTGAACACGTATACAACTGATGCGGATGCGCTGGTGATTTTTTTACTCTTCGTGTTTGCAATGAATGTGACATGTAACACAGTCGTACTGTAATAATATATACATATTGAAATGAACTAAACGCAAAAGTAATACTGCATGCACTTGAACACCGTCTCTCGAATCGATCGAAGATTACAGAGAAAAATCAAAGCCAGCCAATGCGTAAAGAGAAACAGTAAGGTTACTCCACCTTCGGCAGGTCAACAGCACAACGTCAACAAATATTAAGAACGATCATAACTACTTTATAACAATGATAATTACTATTACTCAGATAAAACTGCAAGTCGAAGGGACGAAAGTAATGACATCAATACAGGGATAATAAATCCCTGTACTATTTATTTTAATTTGTAAATCATTTATATATATATATATATATGACATGTAAATAAACACAAAATACAGCCATTACTACCAAGTACCCTTTTGTCTATTTATTCATATCATATTTTGTACGCAAATTGTACTATACTCTAAATTTAAAATTTTTGCCACACAGAGAAGCCGTCTACGTAACGCCTGTCAATATCTTTTAGCAGTAACATTTTGAAATTCTCTTTGGATATGGCTGAAGGGTGTTTCTTTTCCTGGAACAATGCTGATGGGCTTACTCAGCCAAAACGTCCCTTTAGCACCGGCCGGAACCTTGAGCCGATTTCGACAATAGGAAGGTCGCGCATGGCAATAGTCGTAGAAATTATAATGTTACACCAGTATTTTGTACAAACATTCGATCTTAAGCCGCAGGCTTGACAGCTGTTAGGTGCGTATACGTTTATTATGTTATCTATTCGGTGACTGTCATTTTACATGCATGGTATTACACCAGTGTCTTGATGCATTACTACTTGTCCAAAGTGTTTTTAATTGACGCTTAATTATATTCTAATTAATAAGATACGGTTAATTATATTTGAGTCGAAGTTAAAAGTCATGCAAGATCATTACCAGAAATAATTTCTCTCGTAATGAGAACTGAAAAATAGAATTCGATCAAAGAATCGTTTCTCTCTATGTTTAGGTTCTAATGTTTATTTGGGCAGCCGAAAACAGCCGTAAAACACCCAATATTTCTCAACACTTACTTGTGTAAAACTCCTTCAGAAATATACGGGAGAATGGAGGTGCTGGCCGAACTTTAATTCATATTATAAGAACGGCTTCACTGTTATCAATGGAATTTATTTTTAAAAAATCTCCGCTATTTTAGAAATCATTTGCCAAATGCACGTCTTTACTTGGAAGGGCCCTCTTTAGCACAACCCATAGACTTCCAACGCGTCCTATGTATTGACAGTCTTCATGAAACAACTAGTTCCAAGCATCATTATGTGTGGGGCTTGAGGGCTAGGCAGTCATCTTTTAGCTACTATTTTGGTTGTCCGTAATCCGAGTTAAGACAGGTAAACCTTTCTTTTTTTTTTTTTTTTTTTTTTTTTGTTTATTGGAACGTAATAGAAAAGACGATCATTAGATGATTTGCGCAAATAATCACGTTTTCAGTTTGTACTCGGGTATCTGAGTGATGACAGAATGGGCATTGTGCAATGGTAGTGCAGGCCTCAGCGGCTTCAAACAAATTCCGCGACATACTGCGTAAAATATATAACGAAAAAAAGAGCACAAGGTCGGTCGCACCTAAATGAGAAAAACATTCTTCCACTGACTAACTAGATATTGAACAAACGAAATAAATATGGTGATTTGTCAAACTTTAAAACAACATTGTGTAAATATACAATAATAGTAAACGGATGTTCGAGCGTGTGTGGTCCTTTCAATTAAATGCAATCAGACACAGTAAACTTGACAGTGGAATTATTTGGCGACAACTAGAGTTCTTGTAGAAGTTACTAAGCCTTCGATGGCAGCCAGTTACGTGGCTAGGTTACCTGTTCCACGCAAGCAAGTTGTTTATCTTCTAAAATGATCGGGTGATGAACTTGCTTGCGATTCGCTATAATTTGATAAATTAGCTAGTTGATCTGTCTGTTAGAGAAGGCAGTGACTTATTTTTATGTTAACAACGTTACACTTATGTGATGATTTACAATTAAATAAAAAGGCATCTTTTGATCTAAGTCTTAAAAATACAATGTGGGGGTCAAGTCATTAGGCTGAATTATCTGTCCTGTCCGAGTAGTATATTTCTGATTCTCGGCCTTTTCATAGATTTTTCACTTAACGCAATGTTCGTACGTATCTAATATGGAAACTCATATAATTTGCATAAGATACTGGAGTACGAAACCAGGTAGAGTAGTTGCCAAGCTCAAGTGATCTAGTCACAGCCATAACTTACTAGCCGGTATCGAAGTTCAACTTTAATTGAACTAGCAATAAATAAGGAACAATAGGCACGCTTTTGTCTGGCACAGCGATTACTTTGTGCTCAAGCTAGCCGTATGCGGCTCGGCCCCATAGATACTTCGGTTATTCGATTCCAGCCCACAAACGATATTCTAGGGTGTTGCGCAGCGGCGTTCTGAGAAAGTCTCTTTACAATGCCTGATGAAACCTTTGACAAGATTACTCCATGCGAGTACATTAAGGCATACCAAAAACAGTGGCAGTTAAAGCAAAGTTAATTCGAAAAGCCCGCGGCGAGCGGGCTTTTCTAAAACAAGGCTTCAGAATGGGCCGGAGGCAATGTCGTCTAAATATTTCAAGCAACTGCTGAGCGCCGTCGTCACTGGCGCTCGCAGTGGGGCCTGAAGGACTCCGTGCGTTCCAGAGCCTATGCTGAATATGCATGGGAATATGCGTGAACTATGTTATACTATGAGTTAAGTTAGAAGATGGCAAATATGTTCACTTTCTATTTTAGAAGAGAGAAAAAAAGACGTTCTACAGAGTATGCGCTCATGTTTCCAGTCGCTATTCTACCTCTACAAACGATTTCCAGGGTATGGAGAGGCGCTTCGTTGCGCGTTACTAAGCCTATTACCGATTCACGCTCTTAACAGGAGAACGTAAGTAGCTACTGAGAGTAGAAGGGGTAGGTTGGAGGGTGAATAAGGTAAATATCGTGTCTAGAAAACAATGGTTTTACCCACAGCAGAAAAGCAAATATGGATATTGAATATTTTCATTATGATCACGTTGCTGGAATCAAAAAGAACACCCAACCTAAAAGCAGCAAATATCTTCGCTCCCGACTCAAGCCTGTAGAATCGATTATAGCGTTCCACACATTGGTCTGATTATAATCATGTTTCTCCTTATCTGATTTCTAACGCTCTTACCTTTTTTTTTTTTAGGCGAGTCATGTTAGCGATTGATATTTTTATAGCTTGAATCTTCATTTTTTTATCCTATCTTTGTACAAAGTATATCTGTCAAAAAAACTCTATAACTTATAAACATATATATATTTTAACTATTTGACCTTCTTACCATTTTTCTATTTACCTACTACTAAAGATATGTATTTTTTCAGCTTTACTCAACTCAGACATTCACTAATCCAGATCAACAATCTGTTCCCACCTTTGTTCATAGATATGAAACGCATTGCCCTTATTGGAAGTACCGCTCTGCTGTCTCTTTATTGCAAATACCTTGGCTCGTCGTAGAGTCTTAGTCCGCTCTAAGGAGTTCCCCTTTTTCTACACACGATGGCGGCTGCCAAAGAAGGCGGTGGTGAAATGAAAAAGGAATTTACGAGCGGAGTTCTGTTCCTTCACACGGAAGTGCTCAGTCGGATTTTGCTCCGATATAGAGACACCGCCTACTGAGCATCTAGTGATTCTTTGTCAACACGAAGACCGCACTGTCTCCGTATTCGACAATGCTGCCTCATGTTGGTGGCGTCTAGTAGCTATTGCTAGCAGCTTTGCCCCTGCATCCATTGCCGCCAACGCGAGTCTTGTCGGTATAGACAGTCCGCTCTATGCCTTCTTGATTGCTACCACCGGCGGTCCTTTTCGCTTTTTTATCATTGCAAAAATAAAACAGGGTGTCGAAGAACTATCCAAGTTACCGCATTGTCAGCAAGTCCATCGGAACTGCTGAACGAGACCGCGTTAAAGTTTAGGGAGGACTCAATGTGATGTTACTTTTCCTGGAGAGAATGAGGGCATTCTAGCGGTTTTACATCGTTCATTGACTATGAATACCTCATATTCATAGGTTGAGCTACTTCCACGCGCGCAAATTATAAAACGACAAATAAGCTGGCAAAGAAAAGGGGCAAGTGTAAAAGACAACTTCAGAGTTCGAACCGGAACTAGCTTTCGATCGATTTTCGCCATTGAGCACTCTATCCTCCATTGGCCTGATCGGCACTCAATAATAACAAATGACACTAAAGCTTACCTCAACAGACAACAAAGATTTTGATGCAGCCTTACCGCTACTGGCACGTGCAGTACCAGGGAACGTCGTAGCCCGGCGACCAACAATCCTGTACCTAGGTTTGACCGTCGGCTGACTGGCTGGGCCAAACGGCGGAAGTAGCGGCGAACCAATGTGTGCGGTTCCTTTTGCCATCTGAAAGGAAGACGTCCGTGGAAAAAATCGCTAAGCATGACGCTAACGACGATCCAATAAACCCGCGCGAACGCAGCAAACAAGCACACAGAGCGTTGAGTGCTTTTCATCCAGAGCAGACGCGAAAATAGTTAGAGTGGACATGTTTGCGATGAGGTGATTGTCAGTCAGCTTGTTCAGAACGGCCGTATTTGATATTGTGCAGTGTGTGTGATCATGCCTGATAAAGTGAGATAGACGCTGCAATAGAATAAT